AGAGAGAGGATCTCAGGCAGGCTCCGCACCTCCAGCTCAGTGCCCGATGTGGGACTCAAACTCAACGAACCGTGAGATCATGACCTGAGCTGAAATCAAGAGTTGGATACTCGACTGACTGAGCCACCTGGGCATCCCTATTCCTAGTGTTTTGAGCTTTGTCCATTTATTTTGCTGAGTGGTGAGATACTTGGTCAGGATTCTCCAGGGAAATAACCAAACAGATGTGTATTTTTAGAGAAAGATTTATCTTAAGGACTTGGCTTAAATGATTATGGAGACTGGCAAATCTATGACCACCGGCATGGCAGATTTTAAAACCAGCAACCTGGAGATCAGGGAAGATTCTATGCTGCAGTTCAAGTACAAAGGTCATCCCATGATAGAATTCTTTCTTGGCTCACGGTAGGTCAGACTTTTGCTCTATTCACCCTTCAATAGACTGAATGAGACTCTCTCACATTAAAAAATCCACCAATTTAAATGTCAATCTCATCCAAAAACACCCTCAGAAAAACATCCAGAATAATGTTTGACCACATATTCGGCACCGAGGCCCAGCAAAGTGACACATAAAATTAACCATCATGGATATCTTCAATTTGAAATTGTACGAGGTGAGAAAAACTAAGATTCCTATCCTTGAGCAGTGTACTTCCTAGAGTAGAAGAAACAGATAATCAAATAATAAATATAAAGCATTGATAAAGCAAGGTAGACGCTAATAAAGCTCGATGGGTAGGTACAGAGCATGGGAGTACTGTGGGTGGGGGAGGGTTAGCTACCTGAAGTTGGGTGGTCGGCGCAGGTATTTAAAATTTTTTCTTTAATATTTATTTCTGAAGGAAAGAGAAAGAGCAGGAGCAGGGGAGGAGAGAGAGGGAGACACAGAATCCGAAACAGCCTTCAGGCTATGAGCTGTCAGCACGGCCTGATGCTGCACTCGAACTCACAAACCACAAGATCATGACCTGAGCTGAAGTTGGTCGCCTAACAGACTGAGCCACCCAGGCACCCCTGTGTAATCGTTTTAGAGAACATGGAATCCGAGCAGAACTCTGGATGAGGGAAGAGCAGTGGTGGAGCATTGCAGAGAGACCGGCTGGAGCAAACGTTACGGAGAAGGGGTTGGCAGAAGGGACCTGGGCCAACACTGAAGCCTGTTAGTGGAGTAGAATGAGTGCAAGGAGAGTCTAAGTGAGGTCAGAGAGGTGAGTTGTGGGGAAAAGGCAGAAAAACCAGCCTTGGTAGGGTCACATAGGCCATTTGAGGTATTTTAGTCTGCGAAATAAA